TCCCAACCATCCTGTGGTGTTGGGTCCTCGTTTTGAAGAGACGGTGCCCCGCGTTCCCCTCCTTCCTCTCCTCCTCCCTCCTCCCCCTCCTTGCCTCTGCTCTCGGCACACCTCTCACGCGTTTCGTAGCCCCATATGGAGCTCCACCGAAGGCCCCAGTGGGGGTGTTCGCATGCGGTTCCCCCACCCAGGGCAGCGTTTCGTGGCCCCATAGGGAGCTCCACCGAAGGGCCCAGTGGGGGTGTTCGCATGCGGTTCCCCCACCCAGGGCAGCGTTTCGTGGCCCCATAGGGAGCTCCACCGAAGGCCCCAGTGGGGTGGTCCACATGCGTTCCCTCACCAATTTCGGCGTTTCGAGCCCCATAGGGAGCTCCACCGAAGGCCCCAGTGGGGGTGTTCGCATGCGGTTCCCCCACCCAGGGCAGCGTTTCGTAGCCCCATAGGGGGCTCCACCGAAGGCCCCAGTGGGGGTGTTCGCATGCGGTTCCCCAACCCAGGGCAGCGTTTCGTGGCCCCATAGGGAGCTCCACCGAAGGCCCCAGTGGGGGTGTTCGCATGCGGTTCCCCCACCCAGGGCAGCGTTTCGTAGCCCCATAGGGAGCCTCACCGAAGGCCCCAGTGGGGGTGTTCGCATGCGGTTCCCCCACCCAGGGCAGCGTTTCGTAACCCCATAGGGAGCTCCACCGAAGGCCCCAGTGGGGGTGCCCGCATGCGGTTCGCCCACCCAGGGCAGCGTTTCGTAGCCCCATGGGGAGCTCCACCGAAGGCCCCAGTGGGGGTGTCCACATGCGGTTCCCCCACCCAGGGCAGCGTTTCGTAGCCCCATAGGGAGCTCTCCCGAAGGCCCCAGTGGGGGTCTCCACATGCGGTTCCCCCACCCAGGGCAGCGCTTCGTAGCCCCATAGGGAGCTCCACCGTAGGCCCCAGTGGGGGTGTCCACATGCGGTTCCCCCACCCAGGGCAGCGTTTCGTAGCCCCATAAGGAGCTCCACCGTAGGCCCCAGTGGGGGTGTCCACATGCGGTTCCCCCACCCAGGGCAGCGTTTCGTAGCCCCATAGGGAGCTCCACCGAAGGCCCCAGTGGGGGTGTCCACATGCGGTTCCACCACCCAGGGCAGCGTTTCGTAGCCCCATAGGGAGCTCCACCGAAGGCCCCAGTGGGGGTGTCCACATGCGGTTCCCCCACCCAGGGCAGCGTTTCGTGGCCCCATAGGGAGCTCCACCGAAGGCCCCAGTGGGGGTGTCCACTTGCGGTTCCCCCACCCAGGGCAGCGTTTCGTGGCCCCATAGGGAGCTCCACCGAAGGCCCCAGTGGGGGTGTCCACATGCGGTTCCCCCACCCAGGGCAGCGTTTCGTGCCCCCATAGGGAGCTCCACCGAAGGCCCCAGTGGGGGTGTCCACATGCGGTTCCCCCACCCAGGGCAGCGTTTCGTGGCCCCATAGGGAGCTCCACCGAAGGCCACAGTGGGGGTGTCCACATGCGGTTCCCCCACCCAGGGCAGCGTTTCGTAGCCCCATAGGGAGCTCCACCGAAGGCCCCAGTGGGGGTGTCCACATGCGGTTCCCCCACCCAGGGCAACGTTTCGTGGCCCCATAGGGAGCTCCACCGTAGGCCCCAGTGGGGCTGCCGCATGCGGTCCCCCCCCACCCAGGGCAGCGTTTCGTAGCCCCATAGGGAGCTCCACCGAAGGCCCCAGTTGGGGTGCCCGCGTGCGGTTCCCCCACCCAGGGCAGCGTTTCGTGGCCCCATAGGGAGCTCCACCGAAGGCCCCAGTGGGGGTGCCCGCATGCGGTTCCCCCACCCAGGGCAGCGCTTCGTAGCCCCATAGGGAGCTCCACCGAAGGCCCCAGTGGGGGTATTCGCATGCGTCTCCCCTACCCAGAGGTAGCGCCACCGAAAACGATATTCATATTTGCAATATTCACAACTGCATATGGTTGGGTCCTTCGCCAGGCTAATTATGTTAAAATCGTTACGAACACTAAGGTTTTGGAAGGATTTTGTCTTGCGCGCGCGAATGTGTCCCGCATGGTATTATTTGACAGGGATTCGTGAAAAAGTGTTATGTTAGATAGAAAAATGTCCCCGCATAGTGTTATTTGACAGGGAACCGCAGGGGGGGGGATACCGGCTTGGCTGGGATGGTATGAATTCATATTTAGGATGGACATGTGGTCAGAATCATATGTGATTTACAGCACGCGCGGGGGTCCCGATAAGTCCGGGGGGGGGGGGGGGTAGAATCTATTATTCTTTTAGAAAGGAGATTTAAAGGAGGAGGAGGAGGATGAGAAGGAGGAGGAGGAGGAGAAGGAACGGGATGAGGGAGGAGACAGGATGACGTTGGAGAGCGAAGCGGAGGATGTAGGCAGGAGGAGGAGGAGGAGGAGGGGCAGGAGGAGGAGGAGGAAGAAATTCCTCCTCATCCCCTCCTCCTCCTCCCTCCTCCTCCTAAGTCCTCCTCCTCCTACTCATCCCCCACCCCCTCCCACTCCCAACTCCTCCTCCGCCCTCCTCCTCCTCCTCCTCCTCATCCTCCTCCTCCTTCTCCTCCTCCTCCTCCTCCTCCTCCTCCAGGAGGAGCTGGGGGGATGCGCGAGCGAGCGCTGGCACTCGGGCCTGAGACCCGGCAGGCGCGGCCGTCGGCCCGTCCCCGCCTCGCAGGGGCAGAGCTGCAAGGGCCGGCGGCGGCGCCGGGAAGACGGGGCAAAATCTGGGGCGGCAGTGCCCCCCCGAGAGAGGTATCGTCTCCCGCCTCCCTCTTCTCGCTGTCTGCTCCTCCTCCTCCTCCTCCTCCTCCTCCTCCTTCTCTCCTCCTCCTCCTCCTCTCCTCCTCCTCTGTCTCCTCTCCTCCGGCTCCCTGCTCAAGCCTCTTCGTCCGCTCCTCCCGTGCTTCCTCCTCCTCGCTCCTCCTTCCTCTCCTCCTCCACCTCTCCTCCTCCTCCTCTTTCTTCTCCTCCCGCTCCCGCTCCTCCTCCTCCTCCTTCTCCTCCTCTTCGTTCTCTTCTCATCTTCATAATCCTCCCCGTCACCCTCTACACCTCCCTTCCTCCTCCTCTCCCCCCCTCATCCACTCCTCCTCTCCTCTTCTTCCCTATCCCCAAGATCCTCCGCTCTTCCCTCTTACCCATACGTATCCCCCATCTCCTCCTCCTCCTCCTCCTCCTCCTTTGCCTCCTCCGCCTCCTCCGCCTCTCCTTCTCCTCCTTTCTGCACCCCCTGCCCCTCCCACGGCCCGTCCTCCTTATCATCCTCCCCCTCTCCTCCCCCTCGCCCCTCTTGCTACTTATCCCCTTCCCCTCCTGCTCCTCCTACTCTTCCTGCCATCCTCTCTCGCACGGGCTCCAGCCTCCCTCACTTCTTCGAGGAGAGCGTCCGCGACATCCAATCCAGCCCCTCGTAGAGGCCGTCGCCGGTCGTGGCGCAGGCCGACTGGATGAACCTCGGGGCGGACAGGCGTTGCCATAAGGCGGAGACGGCAGGGAAGAGAAGAGGGGGTATGGGGGGAGAGGAGGTCGTGCAGGTTTTGTTGGGTCGTCGTCGACTTCGTCCTGGTCGCCGTGGGCCACCACGCCGCGCATTCTCCTCAGGGCGCAGAAAAGAGGCGTGAATTGCGCGCGTCTGGCAGCACAGGACCGGGCGAGGAACGAGAGATCTCAGAAGCCGAGAAAGAGAAGGAGAGAGAGAGAGAGAGAGAGAGAGAGAGAGCGAAACAAAAAACAAACAGAAAAACAGTGATCTAGAACAGGGGCAGTGATGAGAGAAGCGGATAGGCGAAGAGCGAAGAGGGAAGACTAGAGGGAGGTGACGGCAGGGGAAGACGGGGATGAGGAGGAGGAAGAGTAAAGAGGACAGGAGGAGGAATATGAGGAGGAGGAGGGGGAGGAGGAGGAGGAGGAGGAGCAGGAGGATGAGGCGGAGGAGGAGGAAGGGAGGAGGAGGAGGTGGATGGGCGCTCAAGTCCACTTATGTACTAGAACCTGTGCAACGTTAAAGGGTGATGAGGAGAGGGAGAAAGTGGGGGAAAGATGAGCAGCTCTGCTCCGTTGAGAACGCAAACCCACAACAAAGAGGGGGGCTGGCAACACCTCCCTCTTCATTTCACCCGCTCTCTCCTGCTCTTCCTCCTCCTTCTCCTCGATCTCCCCTCCTCTCCTCCTCCTGTTCCTCCCCCCCTTCCTAAACTCCCGTTTCCACTCAGCACCGGACCCCCGCCTCCTCCCCCAGCTCCTCCGCCCCGCTGCGGGCTTGGGTCGCCCGGATGGCCACTGGCGGTTGCGCATGTTGTGCAGGCCGAGCTTCTCGGTGACCTGAACAATTATGAGGCCAGACGGACATGGCACAGGCGACTGCGGATCCGGCAGTCAGGATCAGCCCTCCCCCTTCTCCTCGTCCTCCCTCCTCCTCCTCCTCCTTCTCCTCCTCCTGCTCCTGCTCCTCCTGCTCCTCCTGCTCCTCCTCCTCCTCCTCCAGCTCCACCTTCACACGGCCCTTCTCACTTCGCCTCCCATCTCCTCCTCGCTCTCATTTCTCATTCTCCCTCCAATTGCTCATCATGCTCCTCCTCCCGCTCACTCGTCCTGACCTCTGCCGCCGGCATCGCGTTCGGGAGATCCTGCTTGTTCGCGAAGACAAGCAGCACGGCGTCGCGCATCTCGTCCTCGTTCAACATCTTCATGAGCTCCTCGCGCGCATCCTCCGCGCGGTCACGGTCGTTGCTGTCCACCACGAAGATGAGGCCCTGAGTGCCCTGGTAGTAGTGGCGCCACAGTGGGCGGATCTTGTCCTGTCGGGAGAACGGGGAGGAGGAGGAGAAGGAGGAGGAGGAGGAGCAGGAGCAGGAGCAGGAACAGGAGAGGAAGAGCAGGGGGAGGAGGAAACGGAAAGAGGGAGGAGGGGGCGGGTAATTACGGAGGAGAAGGAGGAGGAGGACGAGGAGGAGCAGGAGGAGGAGCAGGAGGAGGAGGGGGAGGAGGAAACGGGAAGAGGGAGGAGGGGGCGGGGAGGGACGACCACAACCACAGACTGGACAGAGGGCGGGGGCACGGCGCGCCGCCCCCACCACCCCTTATCCCCTCCTCCTATCTCTTTCCTACCCTCCTCCTCCTCCTCCTCCTCCTCCTCCACAACTACTCAATACGAAAACTACTCTCCTCCTTCCCCTGATGACGGGTTGGGAGTGTTCGCCCCCCCCCTCCCCCCCGCGTACGGTTTTTTATACACAGGATTCCCCGGAGTTGGGTTTTCGCCTGCATTTGTTTTCAAAATGCTGCTCTCGCTGAGGCGCCGGCCTCATTTTCGGGCCCCGCTCGTTCCGAATCGTGCTCCCGCTGCAGCGCTGGCCTCATTTCCGTGCTTCCGCTCGTTCCGAATCGTGCTCCCGCTGCAGCGCTGGCCTCATTTCCGCGCTTCCGCTCGTTCCGAATCGTGCTCCCGCTGCAGCGCTGGCGTCATTTCCCGTGCCATGCCACGGCATGCAATGCAATGCTAGGTTGCGTTCCGCTGCGCGATGCCATGCCTTCAGCTGAAGCTGTGATATGCAGTGCTTAAGTGCCACGTCGTGCTATGCCATGCTACGCTTTGATCTTCAACGCCATGCTATGCAATGTTATGTTCGGGGCCGCTGTGCGATGCCATGCTTTGCGTTGCAAAGCTTTGTGATGCAATTCTTCACTACGCCACGCCACGCCATGCTGTGACATACTACGCTTTGCGGTGCTCTTCTACGCCATGCCATGCCGTGCTCTACAATGCATCGCGTACCCTTTCGGGATCATTGCCCTGCTCGACATCCGACTGTGCGAGTAGAGAGGGGATCTACGCCATGGTAAGGGATGGGAGGGAGGGGTAGGATGTCAGATATGACGCGAGCGCACCTAGCTTGTCCTCCTCCCCGCCTCCTCCTCCTCCCCTCCTCGCCCTCCTCCTCCTTCTTTCCCCGCCTCCTCCTCCTCCTCCTCCTCCTCCTCCTCCTCCCCCTCCTCCTCCTCCTCCTCCTCCTCCTCCTCCTCCTCCTCCTCCTCCTTCTCCTCCTCTTCCTTCTCCTCCGCCTCCTCCGCCTCCTCTGCGCTCCTCGCACTTCTCCCCCTTCCATCGCCCTCCTCCTCCTCCCTGGACCTGGTGGGATCAGTGGAATCGCAGAGGACCCAGGAGTTCACAGGAGGCCCCAGAAGCCCCCAAGAGGCCCCCCGAGATCCCAGGATGCCCCAGGAGGTGCCAGGGGGGAGTCCCAGAACGCCAAAGGATTTCGGGGGATCCTGGAGATCTGGGAATCTAGGGTCCGGGGATTTGCACCAAGTTTTAATACAAAATGTCGGGTGTCAACTTTGTAAGACGTTTTCAAACTTCTGGGAATAACTGATCTCTTGAATTTCGGGGGGATCTTGGAGATCTGGGAATCCAAGGCCCTGAGATTTAAACATGTTGACACGATGAAATATAGGAAAACAGATCTGGCTGTTTCGAGCTGCTTGAAAACGTTTCACAGATTTGATTCTGAATTTCCGGGATGTCGTGGGATCCTGGAGATCTGGGCATCCAGGGCTCCGGGATTCTCGATTTTTGTTTGCGGATGTTTGCGCATTCAGGCAAATTTTGGGAGCATGTTCGAACCTTTTGAAATCACAGATTTCCAGAATTCTGAGGGATCATGGCGATCTGAGGGTCCAGGCCCTGGGGTTCTCGAATTGTTCAAAAACGTTTGGACTGCTTTGAAAATGTTCTGGATGCAAAATCTGTTCAGAACTCTGAAACTGTTTCCATTTTTGAAATGCTTGGTGTCCAGAATTTCGGATGCCCTGCCGAAACCCCTGCATGCACAACCAGACGAAACAGAGAAATGGTCAAACAAACAACGGTCAACAAAAACTGTGGCGCCAGAAAAAAAGGTGAGCAAACAAACTGTTTGTCACCGTGATTTTTGATTATTTCGGTACTTTTGGAGCCGGTTCTGGAAGCGTCTAGACACCCACAGGGGCCTCTATCGGGTCCTCCGGAAGCCTTTTTCATAGCCTTCCGTGCCTTTCAGGGGCCATCCACACTGGTGGTAAAACCATGGGTTTGAAGCGATGGGCTTTACCACTTATTTGTGCTCGCTGTGGGGCCGCTCCTGGAAGCCTCCAGAGGCCCGCGGGAGCTCTCCTGGACCCCCCCGAGCTGCTCGGGGGGCGCCGACACAGACGGAAGATGTCTAGTCTCGAAACGCCGGGCTTTACCACTTACTCCTGTTCGCCGCGGGGCCCCCTTTGGGCCCCCCCGGTGCGGGTCATTCGGCGCATTCCCGGTGGCGTTACGTCGGGCGTGTCCCCCTACAGGGGGATTTTCCACGAAAAACAAAAAATACCTCAAACATGCTCCAAAAAGGTTTAAAAACACCAAAAAAAAGTCCCCAGACGATTTGGATTATGTTTTGACTATTCTTGCGGTATTTTTCCGTGGAAAATCCCCCCGTAGGGGGACAGGCCCGAATTAAGGGTGGCGCCCTGCAAGAAGTTTGGGGGGATGGGGGGCGCCGCGAGGCCCCCCGAGCGGTCTCGAAAGGATCTCGGGGCCCCGTCCTCGTTTCCTCCCGGAGCTCACTCGAGCAGTTCTCGGGCGCTTCCTCGGGCCCTCGCGCGCCGATGGGCCGATGTCTTGAAGGCTCTGGTGCTCTGGGGGCCCTCGGAGTCCCGGGCACGCCCCGCTGCGCGACTGCGTGCGCATGGATATCTATATATATATATATATATATATATATATATACATATATAGTTATATATAACTATATATATAACTGTATATATACACACGCATATACACACACGATTTATATACCCATGCGACACATACAACGATCGAACACATATAGTTCTGATACATTGTATACATTCATATACACCGTGTTCGTGTATATCTAGATATGCATGGGTATCGTGAAAGTGCCAAACCACCGTGCGGTTGGCCCGCGACCCCCCCAAGTGCTACTGCATCACATCGGGCATTGGATGCGTGACCACCTGGTCAACGAGCTCGGCTTCTACGCATGCCCGCCTGCCCGCCATGACGGGTTCTGCGCGGAACTCAAGGTGCGGGCGCTGCGCGCGGCCATGGCGCGCGCGGCCGAGGACTCAAGGACTTTGCGGGTGAGACTGGCGGAGGCCACGAGGAAGCATTACCTGGCGTGGGCGTCGATCGCCCAAGTCCGGGGCGGGGGCGCGGGGAGCAACCGTTCGAACGCAAATCGGGGTGCTCCCTGGGCGCGGGTGACTGCAAATTTCTTTCTTCCTTCTCCGCGTGCCCATCTCTGGAGCCATATCCGGACGTTCCGTGGCCCTCTTTCTAGCTGTTTTGGCGCCGTCTTCAGCCGCTGAGTGGCCGCCCTCGACTCTTCTGGATGCTGTCTCGCGATGCCTCGGTGACTTCTGGGGATGGTTCCGGGCCGATCGCGATGACTCCATGGGGGGCGCGGCGAGTGGCGAAGCGGCCCGCGGCCCCTCCTGCCCGGATGGCCATCGGCAAGCAGCGGGCCGCGGGGGTGGCGATCGCTGGAGGGCAGGCGACGAGGAGGCCCGCCGTGGCGCGGGCGCGTCAGCGAAGCGCCGTCAGCGCGCTGCGCTGGCGCAGACGCAAACGGAGGAGGCTGCGCCGCGGGCAGGGGCTCGCCGGCGACAATCACGGCGACGGAGATTACCAGCCTCGAACGTATCCCTAGTTATCCCTACGATTGACACGCCAAAAGGCGATGACAATCCCCTCAAAAAATAAGGGAATCCCTAAGATTGGCATCGTGATGAGGAGATGCCCAGCATAGGGATAGGGATATGTTCCAGGCTGGTAAGGAGAGGACGGCCTCGAGCGTCCATTCTGCGCGCCCTAGGCCTCCACGGCGAGGCGCTCGGCCTGGAGCCATCCTGCGCGGAGAGCCCCGCCGCCGCCTGCAGCGCGGTCGAGCGCGCTGCGCTGGCTGCGCTCCGCGCGGCATTCGGCGCTTGCCCAAGGTGCCCCTGGCCCGAAATGGCCCCGAGCTTTCGTGCCGAAGTGGGCTCCGTTGGGCCCTCTGGGCCTCGTGAGGGGTGCTCCTGAGGCCACGCGTGACGAACCAACAACACACACCCATACCCATAGGGGGATCGGAGAGGGCTACTGGTGCGTGTTGTCGGAGGGGGGTCCCCGCTCGAACGGGAGCGTTCCCCAGGGTCCGACAACCCGCACCCATGCCCATAGCCGGTCCTCCTCCCAGCGACCTCCCTGTGGGTATGGGTGTGCGTGTCGTTCGTTCGTCAGCGCAGGCCTCCCCGGGAGCGCTGGGGGCACCGTGGGCCAGGGGCACATTCAGCAGCGTCCGCTGGATCGATCACGCGGCGGAGGACGTTTAGGAGGGAAAGAAACACACAGACACAATTAATCGTCGACCCCCAGGAAAATATGCAAAAGTATGGGAAGTGGGGGGGAAGACAACACCAAACAAATATGGGAAAATATGGGGAATCTGTTTATTTGTGTGTATTGATTTGTATGTCCTGGGGCCCCTTCAGACGTGGTCGGTCACCAGTTGGACGCATCCAGGCGCGAAGCATGCCCGAAGCTGGTCGGCGCTTCGCCGGGCCCGGTGCACCTGTGCTTCGCGGCGAACCGGCATGTCGTCAAGCGCCGAATGCGCCCGTCCTCCTCCTCCTCCTCCTCCTCCTCCTCCTCCTCCTCGTCCGCCTCCTCCTCCTCCTCCTCCTCCTCCTCCTCCGTCTCCTCTCCTCCTCCTCCTCCTCCGCATCCCTCTCCGCACCCCTCCTCCTCCTCCTCCTCCGCCTCCTCCTCCTCCTCCTCCTCCTCCTCCTCCTCTCCTCCTCCTCCTCCTCCCCCTCCTCCTCCTCCTCCTCCTCCTCCTCCTCCTCCGCCTCCTCCTCCTCCTCCTCTCGGGCCGGGCGAAAGGGGGGGATTGGGAAAGGGGTGGTTACGAAATCTGCTGCATGCAGCTGATTTCGGCCCGCGCTCGTTCCGCCGTTCGTCGGGAACGGTGTTTCACATGGTACCGTTCCACCTTGTTCGGTCGTCGCGCCGCCATCGGCGTGCCTTCGTCATGCTTCGTGTCCAGGCGGCCCGGGCACACGGCCACGAACTTCGCGAGCAGCCTGCAAATGTCTAGACGAGACCGCATTGGCGAATTGACGTCCATGGCCTGGAGCACGCATGCGGCTTCTTGCAATCGTTGGGAAAAAACGCTGTGGGAACAAAAACACACACAGTGGGAACAAAAACACACAGTGTGCGTGTTTTTTTCCCACGTGTTTTTTTTGTCTGTGTTTTTGCCCAGCTGCTCGGGCAAGCCAACTGGTCTGCGCTGTTGGAGAGCGCGCACGCGCGCATTTTGAGGGTATTGGGCCTCGGGTGACGACGCGGCGCATGCCGCGTCACGGTCATCCAGAGCACCAAGAACAAATATTCCGGCGCATCCGGGATGCAACGCACCCAGTGGGGCGCGCTGCGAATCTCGACATCTCAACCAAGGAGAGGCGCACGTGGGCGTAACTCTGGCAGTGGTGGGGAAAGCAACAGAAGGACAGCCCTCACTCCTTCCCCTCCGCGCGTGTTCCTACAGAGCCATCTGTCTATGGCTTCCAGGCAACGGGGAGGCCCCAATGGCCTCGCGGGCGGGCGTCGCCAGCTTCCCCCCCGAAATTGTTCGAGTGCCCCCAGGAGCATGCGCGGTTCCCTCAGCTGCTAGCGCGGGCAAGGGCACACTTGTGGTCAAAATTGTTTCGGTGCACCTCCCGGGTGACGGGATAGGTCGAAATTTTGACATGTCGCCCCTGGCTCTTGGAGTTCTGACCGTTTGCCGTGACGAGGCCTGCATGTGCATTTCACGCGCATCTGTATTTACATGTTCATGTTTGGGCGTGCCGGCACTAGCGCGTAGAACTTATACAGGTATGGCTGTACATCTACAAATCGCGTTACATTTGTGTATACGTACACAGACATATATAGGGTGACGTATCCATGCGTTAACATCAATAGAGGAGGCCGAACAGCGACTCACTCCCTGGGCGCGTGGCTGAAGTGAGGTTCCGCGGTGCGGATTGTTGTTGTTGGTGTTACGTTGTTTGCTGTTTGTGGTCGTCGTCCCACCCGCGACCTGGCCCGCGATCCAACCCCGCGACCCACCCGCAACCAACCCCGCGACCCACCCGCGACCCACCTACGACCCACCCGCGACCCACCCCGCAAACCGCCCGCGACCCACCCGCGACTAACCCGCGACCCACCTGCGACCCACCCGCATTGCTGTAACGAAAAAGTCGGCGCCTACGGCGGGCTCGTTGTACAAGGGTCAGAAAATAAGACGCCTGTGGCGGCCTTCTTCAGAGCCTCGCAAACTGCCGTCGTCCCTATCGCCCCCCATCACACTTACCCTCAACTGCGGGGGGGGCACGTATGCAAGCATGTGTGGAAGTATGAATGCATGTATGCATGCATGCATGTATGCATGCATGCACGTAGGTCGGTAGGTAGGTAGGTAGGTAGGAAGGTAGGTAGGTAGGTCGGTAGGTAGGTAGGTAGGCAGGTCGGTAAGTAGGTAGGTCGGCAGGTAGGTATGTAGATAGGTAGGTGGGTGGGTGGGTGGGTGGGTGGGTGGGTAGGTCGGTTGGTAGGTAGGTTTGCAATAGCGGTGTATAACAAAGGCGCCACACCATGAAATCAAAACATATACCATGAGGCCCCCAAATGCTCCAGGAGGCACCAGGAGACGCCTGGAGATCCCACGAGACCACAGGATGCCCCAGGATGCCCTGGGAGGCTGCAGGATATCCTTGGAGGTGCCAAAAAAAATCCAGAACGCCCCAGGAAACCCGAAGAGGTCCCAGGAGATGGCAGGAAGCCCCAGGAAGCCCCAGGAAGCCCCAGGAGGCCCCAGGAGGCCCCAGAAGGCCCTAGGAGGCCACAGGAGGCCACAGGAGGCCCAAGCAGGCACCAGGAGGTTCCAGGAGGCCCCAGGAAGCCACAGGAAGTTCCAGGAGGCCCCAGGAAGTCCCAAAGGCCCCTGGAGGCTCCAAGATGCCCCATGAGATCCCAGGATGCTCCAAGAAGCCCAAGGAGGCTCAAAGAGACCCCCAACACCTCTGGAGGCCCCAGGAGGTCTCAGGAGGCTGTGTCCGGCATGTGGCTCTGGTCGCTGGCACAGGGGGGGGGGAGGGTGAATGGGTGCGAGGAGGAGCATGCAGAGGGAGAATGACGAGGGAGGCCTCTCCACCGACCCGCTGCCCAGAATCGCCCCCTGGCCCGGCGCACGATTCGGCGCCGCAGCGTGACCGCCCTCGGGTCCTGGCCGCCAACGTCCCAGACGGTGAAGCTGATGTTCTTGTACTCGACCGTCTCCACGTTGAAGCCGATCGTCGGGATCGTCGTGACGACCTCGCCGAGCTTCAGCTTGTACAGGATGGTGGTCTTGCCGGCGGCGTCGAGGCCGACCATCAAGATGCGCATCTCTTGCTTGCCGATGAGCTTGGCGAAGAGCTTGGTGAATGCCATGCCCATGGCTGCGACGCGCTCCTGGCCGGCCAGCCGACGGAAGAGGAGGTGGCGAGGCCGCGCAGCGTGGCCTGGAACTGTCGAGACCTTGAGCCAGAACTCGCTTCCGCCGCAGTGGGACCTCACTGCCAAGACGTCGTTGCCCCGTGGCCCCCCGGTTTCCAACAACGCGCGCGGAACCTCTGACCTTGAACGATCTCCGCCCTCGAAGGTCCAGACAGGCCATACACCTCCTCGAACCCGGCACCTCGAGCCACGCCCCCCTCTCCCTGCTCGCTGGAACTAGTGTCAGGCCGGGCATGTCCCCCTACAGGCGGATGTTGGGAGAACAGTTCGCAAAACTCAAAAAACATCAGCCTAAAATGCCTAGACATAGTAACAGACCAACGCAACACGTCCCCAGAATTTTGGGACTATTTTTGGGAATGCTCCGCCTGTATCGGGGAGACGTAAGACTCGGGTACGGGGGAGTCGGGTTGGCCTGACGGGGCCACCATAAAAATGACGAGACGCCATCTGAAATTTGACGCGAGCTCCCGCTGCAGACATCCCACGAAAACTGGACCGTCAAAATCCAGGACGCGCTCGTCAAAAAACGTCGGCAAACCCGAGCTCCAGCTTGCCCGAGTCTTACGCTTCCCCGACTGTTGCGGGACATGCCCGACTGCAAACCAAAGCTGGGCCACCTCGGACCCCCCAGGCCGGCTCCGACTGCCGAGCCCGTCGCTCGCACGGACCTCGCGCCGTGGGCTGCTTCTCGTGTTAGGTCGGGCATGTCCTCCTACAGTCAGGGGGGCGTAAGACCCGGGTACAGGGGACTCGGAAATCCCCGACGAGGTCGTCAAAAAAATGACGAGGCCGAGCCTGCATTTTGACGAGGCCTCCCGCTGCAGACGTCCCACGAAACTCCTACTCGTCAAAATCCGAATCGCGGTCGTCAAAAAACGATGGCGAACCCGAGTCCTGGCAAACCTGGGTCTTACGCTCCCCCGATTTTGGGGACTCCAAATGAAATGACCAAACTGATCAACACAGTAACAAAAACGTCGTCCCCAGGCTATGTCTTGCCATTCCTGGAGCATTTCCCCTGTAGAGGGGCGTGCCCGACTCAATCCTCGTGGGCCCTTGGGAGGGGATGAAGCTGCTCAGCCTTGGGCGCCCCCGCGCCGGCCTCGCCACCGCGTCGAGGCGGGGGGGGGGGCCCTGCAGCAGCAGCGGGCGGGGGGGCCAGGCAAGCCTGGGCGGCGAGCCTGGGGGGGAAGTGCCGGGGAGCAGGCCTTCTCAGGAGGTGGCGGGGCCTGTCAGAAGCCCTCTGGCGTTCCGAGCACGCTGCTTCTGTCCGCGGAGCAGGCTCGGAAGCCTTCGCACGCGCCAACGTCGGTACAGCAGACCCCGTCAGGCTGCACTCGTGTGGCTGCGCTTGGCACCGTCGCGCGGCACGACAACCGAGAGCCCCGAACTCCTGCTCCTGCTGCTGCCGCGCGCTGCTGCTGCCCCTGGACCTGTTGGGCTGCGGAGGGGAGGGACCTCCCCAGTGGGGCGGGGACGATCGGGGTGGGCGAACGGAGGGGGGCAGCAAACGAGGGGGGGGATACGGTGGAGGCCAGTCCACAAGAAACTTCCCACGAGACACCCAGCCTGGAGACTCCTGGACGTCCATTGAGTCTTGGTGTGGGAACGTCACGCTTCTTTCACAGCAGGACCCTCGAAACCCAAGAAACCCAGGGCACCCTGGAGGCAAGCAGGGTGTTTCTTGGCATGGGCCTCCAAACTGTAACCATTCAGATCACGCAGCCAGTTCTTCTGGCGCCCTCCCGGCGAGGAAGGCCGAGGCTGCCTGTACGCACCAGAATATTCGCAGCTCCCCCTGTCCCGATCCCCCTCGCTCGTCCGACCTGAGGAGGAGGAGGAGGAGGAGGAGGAGGAGGAGGAGGAGGAGGAGGAGGAGGAGGAGGAGGAGGAGGAGGAGGGGGAGGAGGAGGGGGAGGAGGGGGGAGGAGGGGAGGAGGAGGAGGAGGAGGGAGGAGGAGGAGGAGGAGGAGGAGGAGGAGGAGGAGGAGGAGAAGGGGGAGCCCTACCGAACTCCCCCTTTCCCGAGACCAGCCTCGTGTCACAAACGCTTGCGCAACGCATGCTCTTGAAACCCGCGAGCACACACGAGCACGCACGCTGTTTCACGACCATCCTGTGGAGTTGGGTCCTCGTTTTGAAAATGAAGCCGCCTCGTGTCTCACTCCTCTTCTCCTCCTCCCTCATCCGATCCCTGCCTCTACCGTCCGCACCAGTCAACCAGATCGGCACATCCCTCACACGTTTCGTGGCCCCATAAAAGGGGGCTCCACCAAAGGCCAAAATGGCGCACACCCCTCACATGCTTCGTGCGTCAATGAACCGTCCACATGCGTCCGCGCCACTCATTTCGGCGCACCCCTCACACACTTCCTGGCCCCATCAGGAGCTCCAACGAATGCCCGAATGGCACCGACCACATGCGTCCCCGCCACTCATCTCGGCGCACCGCTCACACGTTTCGTGGCCCCATCGGGAGCCCCACTCAAAACCCCAACAACACCGTCCACACGCATCCGCGCCACCAAGTTCGGCAC